TTCTCTAGGAGATCTCCCCAACCCAGGGATCAAACCCATGTCTCCTACCTCGGCAGGTGGAGTCCTCACGGCTAAGCCATCAGGGAAGTCCAGATGATGACGACTCTGGAAATAAAAAGAACCATGGTTGAGGGACTTCCCTGGCAGCCCAGCGCACTTCCACTGCAGGGCGCATGGGTTTGATCCCTGGTCGGGGAACTAAGATCCCGCATGCACTGAGGCACAGTCAAAAAAGAAGAAACTAGAACCATGGGTGGAGCCAAGCCACAGTGTTTTGCATCAAGAACCTGAATCCAAAGCTGGACCCTACAGAGAAGATGCGCAAGGATATGATCTCCTCCACACGGAACTTCCTCATCCACGTGGCCCTGCCGAGAGTCACTCCTTTTATCTTAGAGAAATCAGACAGCCTAAGAAGAGCAGGCATCACCTGTCAATGCATGATGTGAAAAACCTGGTCATAGTATCTATTCCTGTCTGCAAATGAATAGGCCCAGAAAGATGTAAGAGACTCTTTGAATGGATATAAAAATTCTACTTATTAAGAACAAGTTTGGCTTAGGTAACTGACCTCTATAGCTGAAAGAAAAGACTATTTGGAAAGTATGAAAAGATTTTTTGTGATCTGAGTTACACTGTCATGCATGTGATATTCAACCTCTGAATGGTGGTGTAATTGTAGATGATGTTCAAGGCCTTTTTGTAGCAAGTATTAATTGTAAGAGAATTATGCCTGTGAAAAAAAATTATTTAATAAAATTAAATTAATAAAAGAACCATGGTTTGTGGTAGATTGAATTTGGCCCCCAAATGACCTAGGTCCTCACCCCTGGAACATGTAAATACTCCCTTATATTGCAAAAGAGACTTTACAAGGTTTTAAAATTTTTTAATTTATTTGGCTGCGCTGGGTCTTAGTTGTGGCAGGCAAACTCTTAGTTGCAGCATATGGGACCCAGTTCCCTGACCAGGGATCAAACTTGGGCCCCCGGCATTGGGAGCTTAGAGTCTTAGCCACTGAACCATCAGGGAAGTCCCTACAGGGTCCTGAGATGGGGAGATTTTCCGAGATTATGCAAGTGGGACTGAGCAATTAAAACTCACAGCAGGTCTGTTAGGACTCTTCTTTTTCTCCCTTTGTCTTCACAAATGCCATGCTCTTTTCCTCCAGGTCAGGTTGAGGGGTTGGGGATAGGGGTAGGGGAATGAGGGGTGGGGTGGGAACACCTCTCACATGATGATTTTATGACCTATTTCAGGGAAGAAGGGCAAAGAAAGGAGGAGGTCAGAGTGATCTTCCTACTTCTGCCATTTTCAAATTCCCTCAGCTTAAAATAATCAGAATGCCAATGTGCCACATATGAGGGCTGCATGTCCTGAACCCCATCATTTGCAACTTGCCTTTTCATTCAGAAGCTTTTCCTCGATCTGAATGTGTTTTCATTGGAACTCTCTGCCCTTCAACTCTGCACTTTATCACTGAGCAGATGTGCTTCTAGTTTATTAACTGGTGCCTTAACCACCATCAATCACTAAGATGAGACTGGCCAGCTCTGTTTTTGACATTTCTTTTCTAACTAACTGTTTTGAATTTTCTGCAGGGCCAGGCTCTGGACTGAGTGCTTTGAAAGGATTATCCCAGGAGCTGCCACCACAAATGCCCACAGGGCCAGGCAGGTAATGTGACAGGTGATGGGCCCAGGCGTATCAGAATGCGGGTGGGGGACGGTGGAGCCCACAGAGCAGCCTTTCTTCCAGTCACTCCCTGCCATCTGAGAGTGCGGACCAGGGCACTTCCAAAAGAAGCTGGAAAATTAGATTTTTATGTGATGTCACCGCTGGAGTTTCAGTGTTTGCAGCCAATGCTTCATTTTTAAAACACAGCATATGACCAGTAACCGCAGGAGAGTGGGCAAAGGTTGATGAACAGAAAAATCATGGAAAAGAAACACAAGCAATTCTTAAACAGAAGAAAAGAAGAACCACTTCCTCACCAGAAGAGAAACGCAAAGTAAGACTGGGCGAGTTACCATTTGTCATTTCTTAGGAAAAGATTGAAAACATTTGATAAGACACCAAACTAGAAAACATGTAGCAGCTTGTCGTTTCAGATCTTGATGGTTGACGAGGATAAAAGCTGGGGTTAGGGACTTCCCTGGCAGTCCAGTGGTTAAGATTCCCCGCTTCTAATGAAGGGGGAATGGGTTTGATCCCTGGTTGGGGAACTGAGATCCCATATGCCTGCCGCGCAGTGTGGCAGAAAAAATAAAATCTGAGGTTGCATAACACTGTATGACTACTAGGATGGCCATAATAGTGGTAAAAACGGAGAATAAGTGTTGGCGAGGATGTGGTGAAATTGGAACCTTCATACGTTGCTAGTGGGAATGTAAAATAGTGCAGATGCTGTGGGAAAACTGTCCAGTTGGTTACCAAAAACTGAAACAGAATTATCATAATCACATGCGCAATTCCTCTCCTAGGTGTATACTCATAAAGAATTGGAAACAGGAACTCAAGCAGAGACCTGTAGGTGAATGTTCATAGCAGCTTTATCTACAGTAGCCAAAGGGCTACAAACCAAACATCTCTGATGAAGGTATAAACAAAATACAGTAGATCCACACGGAGGACGACTATTCAGCCATCAAAAGGAATGAGGCTCATGTGTGTGCTATCACCCATGGATGAACCTTGGAAGCATTATGCAAAGTGAAGTAAGCCAGACACAAAAGAAAAAATACCATATGATTCCACTAATATGAAATATCTAGAATTGGCAATTCATAGAAAGTAAATTAGATGTTAGCAGGGGCTGAAGGGAGGAAGGAATAGGAATTGTTGTTTAATGGATACAGAGTTTCTGTTTGAAGTGATGAAATATTTGGGAAATAGAGAATGGTGATGTTTGCAAGATATTAGGAAGGCAGCCAGCGCTGCAGCAGCATACACTTAAAAAGGACTAAATTGGCAAATTTTCTGTTATATATTTTTTACCTCAGTTAAAAAAAATAGCTGGAGTTTTATTAAACCATACTGACTTTGGATTTAACTGGGTAGAAGCAAATCCTGCTCAGAAACAAATCCTCAGGGACTTCCCTGATGGTCCAGTGGCTGAGACTCCGCATTCCCAGAGGGGTTTGATCCCTGATCAGGAAACTAGATCCTACATACAGCAACTAAGAGTTTGCATGCCAAAACTAAAGATCCCCCATGCTGCAAGAAGATCGAAGATCCCGCATGCCACCACCAACACCCGATGCAGTCAAATAAATATTTTAAAAAGAAACAGGTCTTGCTCAGAACAAAAAGTGCCAGCCTGTACGATATGAGAATATACTCAGAACATATGTGGTGGGAGGGGGTAGGGGTCATGCCCACTGGGGTCGTAAATAAAGCCTTTCTACATGTTCAGAGCTGATCCCGTGGACAGTTCCTGAGGAACGACCGCATTAGTGGGCTGCCGTGATGGGTGCTCCCCCATCTTATCACTGATCCTGAATCATTGGCTAGCTCCAAACTGGCTCCACCTCCACACAAAAGCTTGGCAACTCTGAGCCAGTAACCCTGACTCTTCCCATTGGGCAAATAAACTCATACTTCCAACAGGAAAGAATAATACACGTTGGAACAGCCATCGTGAAGAAATAACAAATTCAAACCCACGGCATCAGCACATTGGTGACATGAGTCAGTACAAGTCATCTGTTTCATAATCATTATAATATCACACAATTGCCTGTCTATCCATTAAGGTACTTACAACATTTACAAGGATCTGATATTAGATTCGTGAAGGGTTTAAGTGATAGCATTTGGAAGGACTGTTTAATGGGTTAGGGAAATCTGATGTAGAAGAATAACTGTTTAGTGATTTTATCAAAGAACAAAGATTAGTTTAGTATTCCTATTCACACACAAGCCCCATGGCTGTTGGCAAATCCAGCAGTGTGGAAAAATGGTTGCTTGCATACATTGCTGAGCAATGGGTAATTCTGCAGTAACTAAGAAAATTTTATGCACGTACCATTGTATAAAGTATTGTATTTTTTATTGAGATAGAATTCACATAACAAAACAATTTATCATATTAAATTGTGTGACTCTGTGGTTTCTAGTATGTACACGATACTGTTCAACCATCACCCATTATCTGACTCGAGAACCTTAACATCTCTCCTTTCTCTGCAGTTCCCTTGGGGGGGTTGTGTGTGTTGCTTCAGTCATGTCCGACTCTTTGCAACCCCATGGACTGTAGCCCACCAAGCTCCTTTTCCACGGAATTCTCTAGGCAAGAATACTGGAGAGGGTTGCCACTTCCTACTCCAGGGGATCTTCCCAACCCAGGGATCGAACACATGTCTCTTACGCCTCCTGCATTGGCAGGCAGATTCTTTACCATTAACACCACCTGGGAAGCCCCCTTTGGCAACCACTAGTCTACTTTGCCTGTTCTGGTCATTCCTAAATAAATGGGATCAGTACGGCATGTGGCTCTCTGTCCTGGGTCCTTTAACTTATCATAACGACTTCAAGTTTCATCCTGGTGGTAACACGTATTCATACTTCATTTCTTTTTCTGGCTCAATAATCCTGTTTCAAGAATTTCATTGCAGAACTTCCCTGGTGGTCCAGTGGTTAAGACTCAGCATTCCCAATGCAGGAGGCTCAGGTTCAATCCCTGGTCAGGGAACTAAGATCCTGCATGCTCCACAGAGAGGCCAATAAAAATAATAATAATAATATAATTCCATTGCATCAAAATATCACATATGCTTATCTATTCATTCATTAATGGTCACTTGGGTTGTTTCTATCTTTTGGCTGTTATGAATAATCTTGCTATGAACACTGTGTACAGGTATTTGTGTGGACATATGTTTTCCTTTCTCCATGGTGTATACCTCAGAGTAGAACTGAGGGTTAGGGCGGCGAGGCGGCGCACCCGGAGGGTGGGAGGTGAGGAGGTGGCGGTCTCTGAGAGCCGGGCGCCGCCCAGGAGTGCATACGGCTGGAGAGCTGGCAGGGGGGCAGCGGCCGCCGTGAGCAGATGGGTGAACGCGAAAAATCAACACCCATGGATTTTATCTGACTGTGTAGATCAGGTTTTTTTATTCTGGATATCATGGTAACAGTACAGGAAATATGCATTATTTCTCATGTCTGCAAGTAGTCTTCACTGCTGAAGGAAGCAATTTTTTAAGCTACAGCCAAATTCATTTTGGTACCTTTTATGGAAATCTTGATTTTGTTTTTACTTTTTTATAACCTTTTGCAAAGGGTATGAACAAGCAAAGAGCTCATCTCATTAGGCAAGTCCACATTAATAAGAATGCCTAGAAGAGGGTTGATTCTTCAGACCCGGACCCCCTGGCTACTGTTGGGTCTTGCTTTACTCTGCAGTTTGATATTATTTTTATACCTTCTGGAGTGTGCCCCCCAGACTGATGGAAATGCATCTCTTCCTGGTATCATTGGGGAAAATTATGGTAAAGAGTATTATCAAGCCCTCCTACAGGAGCAAGAAGAACATTATCAAACCAGAGCAACCAGTTTGAAACGCCAAATTGCCCAACTGAAACAAGAACTACAAGAAATGAGTGAGAAGATGAGATTTTTGCAGGAGAGAAAGAATGTAGGGGCTAATGGCATAGGCTATCAAGGCAACAAAGAACAAGCACCTAGTGATCTTTTAGAGTTTCTTCATTCACAAATTGACAAAGCTGAAGTTAGCATAGGAGCCAAACTACCTAGTGAGTATGGAGTCATTCCCTTTGAAAGTTTTACCTTAATGAAAGTATTCCAGTTAGAAATGGGTCTCACTCGCCATCCTGAGGAAAAGCCAGTTAGAAAAGATAAGCGAGATGAATTGGTTGAAGTTATTGAAGCTGGCTTGGAGGTCATTAATAATCCTGATGAAGATGATGAACAGGAAGATGAGGATGGTCCCCTTGGAGAGAAACTGATATTTAATAAAAATGGCTTCATAGAAGGTTATTATCGCACTGAGAAAGATAAGGGCACACAGTATGAACTATTTTTTAAGAAAGCAGACCTTATGGAATATAGACACATGACTCTTTTTCGCCCTTTTGGACCTCTCATGAAAGTGAAGAGTGAGATGATTGACATTACTAGATCAGTTATTAATATCATCGTGCCACTTGCTGAAAGAACTGAAGCATTGGCACAGTTTATGCAGAACTTCAGGGATGTATGTATTCATCAGGACAAGAGAATTCATCTCACAGTGGTGTATTTTGGTAAAGAAGGACTTTCTAAAGTCAAGTCTATCCTAGAATCTGTCACAAGTGAGTCTAATTTTCACAATTACACCTTGGTCTCATTGAATGAAGAATTTAATCGTGGACGAGGACTAAACGTGGGTGCCCGAGCCTGGGACAAGGGAGAAGTCTTGATGTTTTTCTGTGATGTCGATATATATTTCTCAGCCGAATTCCTTAACAGCTGCGGATTAAATGCTGAGCCAGGTAAGAAGGTGTTTTACCCTGTGGTGTTCAGTCTTTACAACCCTGCCGTCGTTTATGCCAACCTGGATGTGCCCCCACCTTTGGAACAGCAGCTGGTTCACAAAAAGGATTCTGGCTTTTGGCGAGATTTTGGATTTGGAATGACTTGTCAGTACCAATCAGATTTCCTGACCATTGGTGGATTTGACATGGAAGTAAAAGGTTGGGGTGGAGAAGATGTTCATCTGTATCGAAAGTACTTACACAGTGACCTGATTGTGATCCGGACTCCGGTTCCTGGTCTTTTCCACCTCTGGCATGAGAAGCGCTGTGCTGACGAGCTGACCCCTGAGCAGTACCGCATGTGCATCCAGTCCAAAGCCATGAACGAGGCCTCTCACTCTCACCTGGGAATGCTGGTCTTCAGGGAGGAGATAGAGACGCATCTTCACAAACAGGCATACAGGACAAATTAATTTTAAAAAATTTTAAGTAAAATCACAACCATGCACATATCTTGTGACTGAGTCACTTTTAGAAATACATACTATGATGAAACACATTGTATATGGCAGCACTATTAGAAATACTTTTTTTTTTTCCTATCAGTAGAGGACAAGAGAAAAGCATCAGGTACTTTCATACAAAAATAAATAAGTAAATAAGGATGGGAATTCTCCAGTGGTCCAGTACTTACAACTCTGACTTTCACTGCCAAGGGCGCAGGCCCTATCTTTGGCTGGGGAATTAAGCTCCCACAAGCCAAATGACCAATTTAAAAAAAAAAAAATTAAAAAGGAAATTCTCTATCTAATGATATATGAAGATAATTTTTAAAAATATACTAAATGAGAGGAGGTGGGGAGAAGGGATACATTGGGAGTTTGGGACTAGCAGATGCAAACTATATATAGAATGGATAGACAACAAGNACTATATATAGAATGGATAAGACAACAAGGTCCTATTGTGATAGCACAGGGAACTATATTCAAAATCCTGTAATAAACCATATTAGAAAAGAATTGCTAAATGTTAAAATATATATTATATGATAAAAGCAAAGTGTCAAACAGGGAGCATATGGTATGTTATTATTCATTTGATGAGAGAGAGAGAGTGTGTGTGTGTGTGTGTGTGTGTGTATGCAATTCCTTGTCCATGTATAGAAAAATCTCTTGCAAGAACATATCTGAATCAAGTGGATAAATGGGATAGCTGAAGGCAATGGTAGAAGAGAGATTAGCGCTGGAAACATTTTTATACTTTTAAATTCTTATACCATGTAAACATATTATCCTATTCAAAATAAATTACCCTATAGGATAATTATCCTATTCAACGAAAACACTTTAAAACACTGAAAACTAAACAAAACATATGCAGGCCTGATAGAAAATGGAGGCAATCTAGAGAGGTAGGTTAGGGGAAGGGGAGGGAGGCTCAAGAGGAGGAGGATTTATGTATAATTATGGCTGACTTGCATTATACTATGGCAGAAACCATCACAATATTGTAAAGCAATTTTTTTCCAATTAAAAAATAAATTTTTTAAAAAGGTAAAGAAAATGGAGGCAAGACTTCCCTGATGGTCCAGTGGTTAAGACTCCACACTTTCACTACAAGAGGCACAGGTTCGATCCCTGGTTGGGGACCTAAGACTCTGCTGCATGACACAGCCCAAAAAACAAAAAAAGAAAGAAACTGGAATTTGACCCTCACACCACAAGGAAACTGATATCTCAGTGAGACAACAGGGTGAGCTGCCTTGGGTCACTCAGTAATCACTGTTGTCACCAGGAAATAAAGTCTGACCCAAAGCCCACCCTCTTAGCACCTTAGAGGATATAATACACTCCCATGTGCACAACGTAATAGAACAAAAAGGAGATCAGCTGACAGTGCACAGGGATGGGGAAGGAGACTGGATTTGTTTCCTTTTGCTGCTGTAACAAATTACCATAAACAAATTACCATAAACTCAATGGCTTAGCACAGCGAAAGTTATCCTTTTACAGTTTTAGAGGTTAGAAGTTGAAAATCAGTTAGGTCAATAGTCACGGGGGTGCAGGGTTGTTTGCTTTAGAAGATTCTGGGTGGGAGACTATGTCCTTGCCGTTTTCAGCTTCCAGTTGGCTTGTGGCCCCTTCCTCCACCTTCAAAGCCCATCACTAGCATTTCTGCTTCTGTTATCACATTGCCCTCCCTCTGACTGATGACTCCTGTCTTTCTATCAGAAATATTGAGATTGTATTCAGGCTGGTCTCAGCATCCCAAGATCCTTAACTCAATCATGTCCACATAATATTTTTTGCTGTGTTAGGCAACATTCATTTTGCCAACAAAAGTCAGTCTAGCCAAGCTATGGTTTTTACAGTGGTCAGGTATGGATGTTGAGAGTTGGGCCATAAAGGAGGCTGAGCAGTGAAAAATTGATGATTTTGAACTATGGTGCTGGAGAAGACTCTTGAGAGTTCCTTGGATAGCAAGGAGATCAAGCCAGTAAGTCCTAAATGAAGTCAACCCTGAATAATGATTGGAAGTGTTACCAAAAGGTATGCATGGGCCAATACTCTGGCCACCTGACGCAAAGAGCCAACTCATTGGAAAAGACCCTGATGCTGGGAAAGATTGAAGGCAGGAGAAGAAGGGGGTAACAGAGGATGAGATGGTTGAATGGCGTCACTGATTCAGTGGACAAGAGTGTGAGCAAACTCTGGGAGATGGTGAAGGACAGGGAGTCCTGGCCCGTTGCCATTCACAGGGTTACGAAGTTGCACAAGACTGAGTGAGTGAATAGCAACAACATAGAGGCCATTTCCTGCCATGCCAGCCTTCATCTCAAAGCGTTCCTTTTAGGACAGTGGTTCTCAAAAAGATAATGGGGACCAGAGGAAGGATGAAAGCGCATCTAACTTTTGGAGGAAGCTGAGGCTTTTGAGGGTTGAAAGAGTCCCACAAAGACTTCCGTGGTGGTCCAGTGGTTAAGACTCTGCACTCTCAATCCAGAGGCCTGTGTTGGATNGTAATCCAAGTCTATGCCCCAACCAGCAATGCTGGAGAAGCTGAAGTTGAATGGTTCTATGAAGACCTACAAGACCTTCTAGAACTAACACTCAAAAAAGATGTCCTTTTCATAACAGCGGACTGGAATACAAAAGTAGGAAGTCAAGAAATTTGGGGGAAGGGGTGGAGACTTCCAGGGATTAGGCCACTGCCCACTTTTTGGTCCTCGATGGTCAGCCTTGGAACTGTCAAGGCACTGATGGGTATGTCACTTAGCATATGCAGATGTCTTACAAATGAGTGTATATTGAGGCTCAAAGCCTAGTGGAAATCAACCTGCCCACCATCTTGGACCTATTTGGTTCTAATCAGCTTATGTCGTGTCCTCGGGCTCTGTCATTCTTTTAAAGGTTGTGCCCTGTCCCCTTCCCTCAGGTTTCACTACCCCAGATACCACCACTTGTGAGAAATTCCAAATTCCACACATTTCTGGTAAGACAAACAAGCTAGAGGCCTGGGGACAGGAATCAGAGTAAAGAGTTCAGGGCATTCAAGACAGGACTGCAGGAAAGAGCGAGCCCGACAGGACCTGGGCTGTAGTGAATGGGCAGGAATGAGAAAATACAGCCAAGCCAGGCTCAGATGATAGTTTTTCCAAGCTTCCTGCACCCCGTCCTCCCGCCTTCCCCAGGGCACAAGCCGCCCAGCATTCATGGGCAGGAAAACAAGAATTGAAGTGTGGTTCCCTAAAGAGATCCAGCTCTCTGCCAGCCCTGAGGCAGTCACTAAGCTAGGTGGTGGCTTCTGGAAAAAGCCCGTCCTGTTCTAGCACTTGCGGGGGAGGGGAGGGCAGCTGGAGGTGGGACTCCTGCTCTCTTACCACCCACGAGGGAGGCCAGCCCAGCAGCAAGTCCAACACCCAGACACAAAGCCCGCATTCATGCCGTGGCCTGGCAGGAAAACAGTCAACATTTATAACAGAACGCACAGGCCATCACCTATAGACAGCAGCCTTGTGCCTCTGTTGAGAATGGCAAGAAACAAGCTACATCATCAAACAGGAAAAGAAAACCAGCCCCGAGCAAGACAGAACCCAGAGGAAGTCACCAATTCAGGCCCCAACCAAGGTGCACAAACTGACTCTGCTTCTGGTCCCTTTAGTCTCTTTTGTAGTTTTTCATGTTGACTTTTTTGAAAAGTTCTGGACAGTTATTTTTTGGCAGGGGCCAGTTGTATTACGTTCAATACCGATTGCTTTCACATTATTAAATGTAGATTTAGGGTTTCCCTGGTGACTCAGCGGTAAAGAATCTGGCTGCTGCTACAGGAGACACGAGTTCGATCACCAGTCCAGGAAGATCCCACAGGCCACGGAGCAGCTAAGCCTGTGCGCCGCAACTACTGAGCCTGTGCTCTAGAGCCCAGGAGCCACGGCTAGTGAAGCCTGTGCGCCCTAGCGCTCATTGCTCCGCAACAAGAAAAGCCACGGCAATGAGAAGCCCATGCACCACAACTAGGAGTAGCCGCCACTCACCGCGACTAGAGATAAGCCTTCCCAGCAAGGAAGACCCTGCATAGCCATAAACAAATAAATAAAATTATTTTAAGAAATAAATAGAGATTTAAATTTTTTTAACTAGATCCTGCTTAGGCAATGTTGTGTACTTCCTATAGTATCACATCAAGAGACCCTTGAGGTCATGCTGTCCCAATACTGAGGATATCATTTGATATCATTTGGTTAAGTCTGTCTGCCAACACCCACCATCCCTCACTTGGTAGGTATATTTTTCCCCCTCTCTAATGAATAAAGTCATCTGATGGGTAATAATTCTGGACTATTCTCCAACAGCCTTTTACCAATGGTTTTAACACCCTCTGATAATCCAGTTATTTTGGGGGGGGAATACCGTGTGTTTTTTCTCCATTTTATCTGTAATAAACCAGCATTATCTGTTGAAATAAATTGTTTAGTGACTGTAAACCTACATAATCTGAAGTCTGCAAAGCAGCTGCTTAATAATGGTATCAATTTAAAAAAAAAAAAAGCTAAAAACCATTGCTACAGTCTCTTACCCGCAAACTTTCTTCATAAATTAGGCCCCAAAGTCTTCAAGCAATAAGACCTGACAGACTGACATCACATATTTATAACTATTCCACTAAGAGTGCGCTTCTGTCTACACACGCTTTGAAGTAGAATTATCGCGTGATCATGTACAGCTGCCCTGACCCTTCTGGGAATACTGCAGAATGCTGTATATGCCTTACATGCATTCTGAAAGTGAAAGTCCCTCAGTCGTGTCCAACTCTTTGGGACTCCAGGGACTATACAGTCCATGGAATTCTCCAGGCCAGAATACTGGAGTGGGTAGCCTTTCCCTTCTCCAGGGGATCTTCCCAACCCACTGACTTCTAAAAAAAAAATTCCGGAATCCATACTATCTAGTCCTAGATCTTTCAGATAAGG